AGAGAGAGATGGAGGGTGGCGGCTTTGGAGTGGAGAAGGTTGGCCAATGGTAGGATCGCAAGAGAGAGGGTGCAGAATTTCTGCAGGAATTGGGTTTGGGGGGAATTAATTGGAGGGATATGGTTTGCAAATTAAATTAATTCCATGAGGAGGAGGGGGCGGTTAATGGAGAGGGTTTAGGGGCTGATTTGTGGAGTTAATGGGGGTGATTAGGAGAGAGAAATGGCTCTTACTGCATGGGTCGCCAAGAAGGAGAAGAAGAGGGGGAGGGGATTAATGGAGTGGGCCCACAGATTTAAATAGCAGATTTTTTATTTTAAATCCTGTAGGGAATTCAATCCTTCATAAAAGGAAAAATTTCCTTTCATAGCCCGGTATTCCAGCCCTTTTTGAATTTCAATTAACATCAAATGCTAGTAATTAATTACCTTAAAATAGCTGATTGTTAAGCAATTAAACCAGCGCCATTAAATTTGCTTGAATCCACGGTTGGACATCACGGGAGGAAACGGCAGTAAGGGTGCAGGAAAATTTTGGTGATCAATTGGGAAAGGATTCATGGCATGGACACACTGGGCTGTTGGGGAGTTGCTGGCGTGGAGTGGAGGGGATGTGGTTGCACGGGTGGCCTGATGGAGGCTGGCCGGCGGGTGAAAGCAGAGCAAGCAAACGGCTGGGCTGTGAAAGCCAGCGGCTGATGGGAGTCGCAAGGGAATCGGGGCAGCTGGGTGAGGGAAGAAGAAAAAAAAAAATTGAAAACTTTTGTAGATTCCGTTGCTTGGAATTCCGCTTTGGCTTCACTTTTCCTTCAACGCTTTGATCTCCACGGCAAATATTCTAGGGACGAAATCTAGAACTCACCGGAGAGATCTAGTTTTTCCCGTTGACTCACTAAGAGATCTACTGGAATGCACTCAACAAAGAGAACAAGGGGAATAAATTTTCATTTCTCAAAACTAAATTTTACAAGAGAATGGCGCGTATAAATAGACCTCACCAATGACAAAGAAAAAACAAGAGACTAAAATGCCCTCGGGCTACATTAACGACTAAATGCCGCAAGGGTAAAAACGGAAAAACATCAAATAAAATACGCTACTCATAAAATGACAAATACAAGTCATGCTCGTGGCCGTGGCGATTCTCCGGGCGTTGAAAATGCTGGACGATGTCCTCATCAAACAAAGACCTTAGCTTTTAAGTGATTTATATAATAGAATTATATATAAGAGGGAGAAAGTTAATATTGTATAAGTTAGCCAAACAAAGAGATATGAGTTAGTAAAGGATTTAGTTCAAGTGAGTGTATAAGGATGAAGATCGAAAATTACTTTCTTAGAAGATGATATTCACAAAGGTGGATGAGATATTTTGCTAAAACTTTTTAATGAAAAATTGTGAAAATAAGATTGACTATAGTGACCTTAACACCCTAAATGAAAATAAAGATTTATGTTTTTTTATCGGAGTATTAAGTAAACACCGAAGTTAAGAGAGGCTTTAAAGAAAAATGAAGGGTGGAAAAGCTGTTGGACAATGATAATATTCCAATAGAGGTGTGGAAATGCTTAGGAGATGAAAGAAATTTCTGGCTTACTAAGACTTTTGTAATACTAATTTTGAAAGACTAAAAAGATTGTCAGATGAGTGGAGATGGAGTGTGTTAATACATATTTTTTAAGAATAAAGGTGATGCATAGGGCTGCAAACGAACCGAGCCGAGCCGAGTATGTTGAGTAGATTTCATGTTTGTTGTTTGTTTAACATTAGCTTGTTTCATGTTGGTTTGTGTTTGATTCGAGCTTTAATTATTTGGTGTTCATGTTTAGGTTCGTTTAATTTAAGGGTGTTCTGTTTGTTCATGTTCGTTTGTTTAGTGGCTTATCGAGCTTTAAAAACGAGCTATGTTCGTGAACATATCTTCGCAAAACAATCTTATTAAACAAGCAAACATTAAATTTGTTCATGGAGACATTCTAAACAAACAATCTAACAATGGACAAATTATGAAATATTTCTTGTTCATGAAAAGAAAATTTCTAAAATAAAAGGCAGTTGTATATTTAAAATGAAAATATGATTAATTTATATGAACATATGTTATAATAATTTTATTACTTTAAAATTTATTAATAAAAAATAATTATATTAAATTATGGTAATAATTAAAGTTTTTATATTAATCGCTCGAATCGAGCTTTTTATCGAGCTTGTTCAATGAACATCAACTGATGTTGTTCGCGAACATAAACGAGCTGAAACGTCATTAGTGTTCAACGCCTTGTTTATTTAAGAATCGAGTATTTAAAATATTGTTCAAGTTTGTTTGGTTAGTTAATTAACGATCACGAACGGAGCTTTAATCGAACGCGGAACAACGAGTAGTTCGTCGAACGTTTTGGTTTCGCTTGCAGCCCTAGTGATTGCACAAGATTGTGCAAATTATAGAGGAATTAAGTTTATATGTGTCATACTTTTAAACTATGGGACGAGTTATGGAGCATAGATTGCGGCGTGATACTAATATTTCTCAAAATCAATTTTGGATTCATGCCGGGTAGTCGACTATGGAAGGCCAATACATTTATTAAAGAGGTTTGATGGAGAAATATAGAGAAAATAAGGAGGATCCTACTATGATATTTATTTGATTTAGAAAAAACATATGATAAAGTTCCAAGAGAAAGTGCTATGGAGAGTTCTGGAAAAGAAAGGAGTTAATAATGCCTTATATTCAAATCATTAAAAAGAGAGAAATGCAGGAGCTATTACTTGTGTTCAAACACAAGGTGGTTTGGACCGAGGTAATTTCCTATTTCGGTTGGGGTTAACATTCAAAGGATCAAACCTTAAGCTCATATCTTTTTGCTTTTGTCATGGATGTTCTCACTAGAACATTTTGGCAAGAGGATGTACTTGGGTAATGCTTTTTGCTGATGATATTCTTCTTGTTTGATAAGAAAGAGAGGGAGTTGAAAGTAAAACTTGAAATTATGGAGTGTCAACATTAGAAGACTAAAGGTTTTCGCTTGAGTAGATCTAAAACGGTATAGGAGTGTATTTTAGTTGTAATAGACCTAGTGAGGATTTGTGACTTTGGGAAGATCAGTTATTAATAAGAGTAACACATTTTAGATATCTTGGATCTATTGTTCAGGAGTGATGGTGGATATTATCAGCAAAATTCAAAGTTGGATGGTTGAAAGTGGAGGAATGCAACAGGCTTGTGTGTGATAGAAAGTACCCCTCAAAATGAAGGGAAAATTCTATAAGATGGTAGTGAGGCTGCAATGCTTTTTATGGTGCTGAATGTTGGCCATTAAAAGAGAAAGCATAATACTAAGTTAGTGTGGCAGAGATGAGATGCCTTAGGTGGTGAGTGCTTTACCCCTCAGAGATAATGATACGAAATGAGCATAATACGTGAAAAAGGTTTGGAGTAGCTCCAGTAGAAGATATATTTGAGAGAGTTGCCTTAGATGGTTTGGTCAACATAAAATGGCGGGCCTTCCAATGACCCGGTTAGGAGAGTAGAGGTATTATATTTGACTTATGTAAATAAAGGTAGAGGCAGACCTAAAAAGTTTTGGTTAGAAAATATTAGGAATAACCTTTATTTATTAGATTTAAACGAGAATTTAACCTTTAATATGACACAATGGAGAAAAAAAATTCGTGTAGCCAACCCCACGTAGTAGGATAAAGGCTTGATGTTGTTGTTGGATACATTTAAAAGTTCAGTATTTTATATTATTTTCCACAAAAAAGGGCCAAGGTAAGCTAAGGTTTTATTTGGGAAAGCTTTCTTACTACTTTCTATTGCAGTTTTCTAGTACAAAAATTTCTTGAAAGCAATGAAAAAATAGTGGTCATCTATAATTAGTACAATTTTTTTTAAAAGCAATAAAAAAAAACAGTGTTCAAAAGTTGTCCCAAATGAAGCTTAAGACTTTGAAAAAAATGTTAATTGATCAACTCTATGCAAAATAATAAATTTATAACGTTTAATGAAATTAATCATACAATTTAAGAGCAAATGTAGGTTACAGTCAAAGATAGACAATTTGCAATAAATTCAATATATTATAAAATTTTTGTAATTTTACTTATTATATTCAGTTGTTCCAAATTTTGAAATGGTTAGAATTTTTCGTGGACAGAATTTTTGGTAACTTTAATTGATTATGTAAATTTAACCCTTCATCCTTTGAAACCCCACATGTTTGTAATTCCAGATATAACATAAACACACTCATTTGTGTAGGTTACAATTCAACTGTAACATTTTAAGTTTTATTTTTAATTGGTTTATATGTCGAGTCCAGTAGCTTTTTTTTTTAAATTGGTCATCATGCAGAGCTGCAGGCATGAGAGCTGGTTCAGTTCTGCCAAATACTTGGTTCAAGATCTCCCAATTCTCTTGAAGTCTGAAAGCTTGCACAGTATTTCTGATGTTCTTTTTCTTATGTTTGAATCTCTCCCCACAAATGCTGAAAATTTTATCAAATGGATAGCTGAAGTAAGGAGGAAAGAGGAAGATAGAGACAGTTCATTCTTAAGTGAAGAGGAGAAAGCTAGGCTTGCTGCGAAGGTCTGATTAACTATTACCTTTTTTGCTCTCTTCGAAAGTTTCTTAAAAACCCCAATTGTTTCCTCTCATATGCTTCCTTCTAAATTTCAGGAAGGGTTATTACAACAAGTACATGAGACGAAACTGTTTAACATTGTCCGGGATTGGTTGTCATCAAGTTGTTCAAATGCTCAATCTTTGTGCGATAAAGTATCATTTTCTGAAATTGCAGCCAGTGTCTGTTGCCAAGGGGCAGTATTATTGAGTGGAGGCCTCAGAGAGGACAAAAGCCTCTGCTGTCTATCAACTTGTGTGAAATGCTTGAATCCAAGTGAACAAACACCCATTACTATTGTCTCAGGATCAGTGATCTCTGGTGACACTGAACAAAAGGTTGATATGTTGGTGCCTGTATCACAATCAACATCATTATCATCTTCAAATTTGAGGAGTTATTGCAGTTCTGCATTGGATAATTGTTCTGGCATGCACCCTGGAAGCAATGATGTTTTGACAGTCCTGCTATTGGCGTTGCCTTCAGATACCTGGATGGGTATCAAGGATGAGAAGCTGCTCGATCAAATTTTTGATCTAGTATCAACTGAGAAGCTTCCGGATGTTCTGCAACAGGAGGTAGATTATGTTTTCCATCCCTTTCATTTGAGTCTGCTTCATCTTACTACCGGGAAATTTAAAAAAAAAAATCTTTTGGATGTCCATTCATGGTTCATGTTAGTGCCTCATCTTTTATAAAACTATGCAACGATTCTGCAGACTGAATGCACACTCGTTGTCTAATTCCATTGATTCTGTACTAATTCCATTCATAAGCCAAATTCTAACAAGAATGATGCCTACAAAGCTTTGCAGATAATCCTGGGGTGTTTTGCAACATAGAAACTCCTAATGTTTCAGCAAGATAACTTTACCTAATGATTGCCTAAGCTTATATTGTTATATCCCAGCTGTCCCTAGGCATTTTGATCCCAAGGCTAGGATGGGAATCCGTGGGAGGCTCACCTATTAAATCCTAGTGTCCCTTGGCATTTTGATCCACGGTTAAGATGGGAATCCATGGGAGGGTCACCTGGATCATGTTGATCTCCTTCCATATTTAGATGGCTAATTTAGGAAGGATTATATTAGAGCAATTATGCATTATTCTGTAATTATTTATTTCTTTATTTAGATATCTTGGAAAAGGTTTCCGGCGAGGTTTTTATCGGCGGTTTTTGAACCGCCGACAAGCCGCCGGTGTTTTACAAAACCGCCGGAAAACTACTAGTAACCGCCAGAACAAACCGCCGGTAATGAGTGATTTTTCTGTAGTGTCTCTGAATTTAACATGGTATTAGAGCCTTCATTGTCGTTGCCAGAATTCTGAATTTTTTGTACTACCATGCCTTTTATTCGGCTTTCCCTTATTGTTGTTATCCTATTTATAACCAACACAACCTTTATTGTTGCTCTGCTTGATATAGCCTTCATTGCTGCCCTTTGCCGTTGCAATTTCTGAAGCAAATTCCTCTCAAAGCCTTGTTCAAATGGAGGACTCTATGGTGCATCAAGGAAGAGGAGATCTCCAAAATATGCAACATTCCTATCACATAAATGGAAATAATTATTTGAAGTGTTTCAATTTGTGAAGACCTATTTAAAAGGAAAATGATAGATGAATCACCTCCTTGGGGTAGGACAAATCATCGAAATTAAATTCAAGGTAAGAAGCACAAACCAAGAAAAATTGTGAGTGAATATGCCACTCTCCTTTAAAGTTGATGGCAATAACTTAATTACTACAAATGCATAGAAACTAAGTGTATAAAAGATGCAGTTATCCTAAAAAGCTTTATTGAGAAAGATAGAGTGTGTGACTTTCTTGCATGATTAAATACAGACTTTGACCAAGTTAGAGTTCAGATCCTTGGCAAATGAGACTATTTCTCTCATTCATGTTGAGGAAAGCCGACGAGGTGTAATGCTGGAACCAAAGATTGCTGAAGGTTCAACAATGGTGATAGTCAAAAAGGCGTCATGGAAGGAAAGAGGTAAGGATTTCACAAAACCTCAAGACAAAGACTACGTTTAGTGCAGCTATTGCAAGAAATTAAGACACACAAAGGAGACATACTATAAGTTACATGGAAAGCCCCCAAGTAATGAGTGGAATCAAAGAAGTGGACAAAAGGGAACATCACAAGCTAACACTAGAAGTCAACCCAACCCAGTAACACAATCCAGTTTCAGAGAGCTCAACAAAGAAGATATTGATAAGTTAAAATAACTCATTATATCACTTGAAAAATCACCTGCATCTTTTCTTGCACTTCCAGGTAAATTTCTTATATCCATTGGATTAAGTGCTTTTATAAATCATTTGAAAGGAGTATGGATCATTGACTCGGGAGCCACAAATCACATGACACACTCCACTACCTACTTCATCAACTACACTCCTTGCCCGAGTGATAAGAAAATTATCACTGCTGATGGTTCTCTTATCACAGTAGCAGACCAAGGAGACATGCCCTTATCTCCCTTCCTCACTCTAAAAAATGTGCTTCATATACCTGAATTATCCACAAGCATAATCTCTATATAAAAAAATTAACGGGGATCATAATTGTCAAGTCCTATTAAACCCTAATTGTTGCTTATTTCAGGACCAGGGATTAGGGAAGAAGATTGAACTTGCTAAGGAAACAGATGGACTATACAACCTGGAAGAGCCGAACAAATCCACTATTATCAATAATGGCTATTCTATGTTATCCTTATTTAATAAAAAATATAATATTTGGCTTCATCATTTTGGATTAGGACATCCATCGTTTGTTGTTTTAAAAAATATGTTCCCAAAACTTTTTTACAAGTTGAAAAATAAATTTATTTATTGTGAAACTTAAATTTATTTTTCAACTTGTGAGTTAACAAAGCATAAATGAGTTTTCTTTTCAAACAAAATTGAGAGATGTCATACCCCTTTTTACCTTATTCATTGTGATATATGGGGACCCTAAAAAATTTATAATATCTTAGGGGCCAGATGATTTGTATCCTTGATTGATGATTGTACTCGAGTCTCTTGGATCTTTCACCTTAAAAATAAATTCGATATGAGCACTATATTTACCATTTTCACACCATGATCCAAAATCAATTTAGGATTAAAATATTACAGTACAAAAGCTAGTAAAATAGTAAACCATTATGATTATCAAAATTTATAAAATAATCATCATATATGTAATATTAATGAGTACCAAAATCGAATAAAGTATCAAATCAAAACATCAGTAAAGACTGTTGAAATCAAATCAATATAGTAAAATCATATATAAATGTACACATGCTATCCAGGTATTCTATATCACGTGCTTAGAATATCACTTGCTTAGTATCATGACAGTGAATCAGGAGTATCAAATAGTATCAATATCTAAATCGATAATAACAACAATCTAGTGGTAGGAGCAGTAAAATAATGCAATAACAGTAAATCCGTGCATTAACAATAAATCCATACAATAGTAAGAACAATGCATCAAGAACATGCATTTCAGTAGTCACACTAAACAAGTAAGAAGTTCTAGCTATTACGGTGTTTTTCAGTGTTAGTAAACCGTTGGCTCATTAAATAGAGTCGTCACTCTTTGCTCGTCGGCACAGTAATTGTAAAACCCCTCCAATGCTGATTTTTTTTTAGTGCAGTAAGTCCGTACGAACTGGCTTTAGTACGGGACGAACTGAAGAAATTGTGAAGAATCTGTCAATTTCGTCTGGACGAACCTGGAAGGGTCGGGACAATCCGTCTGGACGAAATTTGTTCAGAGAGCAAGTCGTCCGGACGCTATTTAATTTCGTCTGGACAAAATTCTGCCAGAGGGAAAATCGTCCCGGGACGAATTTTGGATCGTCCGGGACGATCAGTGTTAATAAATATCCGATAGAGATATTTTGGAGATATTTTGAAGAGAGAGAAAAGACAGGAGAGAGAAAGGGAAGGAAAGAGAAGAAGAAGCTTGGTTTTGGAGCCCGCGGAGCGCTTTTCGTCCGACGACGCAGTTGGAAGATTTGTTCGTCTTGCAGTAAGGACTCTGAATCCTATTTCTGTTTTCGAAGATTTCGAGTTTTGATATTTCTGTGCTCATATTTGTGTTTCCGTTACCGAAAAACGCGTATAATTTTGTATTGACGAAAGTTTTACCGCACAACTTTTGATATGTTTTTGAGATGATAATTGTGCACGTTTTGAGTATTTTCTGAAAGATTTTTACCGGATATTTTGGATTCTGCGGTATTTTAATTGAACTGCAATTTATCAGGATGTTGAAAAATATTTTGTCAGTACAATGAAAGTCTTATATTATTGTTTTACATGTTCTGTGGTAATTTGGTAAAGTTCTGAATCTATGATTTCTGTGTAAATTCTGTATACTGCCGTTGTGCCGCCGATTTCTCGTACGACCTCTGATTTTCTGAATTGATGATTTAAATGATTGAATATGCATACGAATATAAATATATGATTGAATTATTGTTATTGTTACTGAAAGACAAGTAAAGACTGGTTGAACTGTTAATTAGAGACATGATACCTGTACAGGATAGTGGACCGACGGGCTTTTCTTTAAATAAAGGGTTTGGTGTTATCCTCTACTGATCACGTGATTACTGAAGGGAGTCATAAGGAGATGAATACTGTGCCGACGGGCAAAGAGTGACGACTCTTTTTACTGAGCCAACGGATACAAGATACAAAATACAAAATATAAGACTGAAAAACGCCTTAATAGCCAGTGATTGTACTTGTTCAGTAAGACTATTGTATTGAATTGCAT